AGAGAGAGATACTCAAAATGGTATAACATTAGAGTAATATGCAAGCATTCAACCAACAAGCAAAGACCTCTTAATACAATAACATGTATAAGAAGGTCAAAATAAGGCGACTTTCAGTTTTGATCATGGTCCAAAAATAGAAAATGATAGGCTAGTGAAAGCATGCATAAAATATTGACAGACAAAGAGATATTGGAAACAAGTGTAGAGATATAGGTTCTCAAAGAGACCCTTCAACAAACATGTAGAATAGCTCAGAAATAGACCTAGTTTAGTTAAAGTCGGAGCCCCAAAACAATAAGCAAACTAATGCTTGTAGATATGAAGCAAGAAAAGACTAGATAAAGGGAAGAGGGAGGACTCACCCCTTGAAGACTCAGCAAACAGCACCTCTTGACCAGGTTTAGGTTGCTCCTAAGCTCTGAAGAAACAGCCTCTAGCTACTGGATAGTGGAGGATGGAAGCCTTTGTGCTATTGGGTTTGTAAAGTGCACGATGGAGCAAGGATTCTTGGGTTTGGGAGGCTTGGATAGATAATATGGAGGATTGTACTCTATTGTTTCAATCCCAGCTGGTTTTTCTAACCTAGTATAAGGAAGAGGAGAGCTTCCTTTATAGGCAAAACAAAGTGTAAAGCTTCTTGAGGAAGCTAAACAAGGGTGCATATCCTCCATACACGTGTATGGAGGATCCATTCTGTGCCCTCCAGCTAGCACAGCTGGCATACACTCAATCTGCAGAATGCTCCGGAAGGTCGTCGGCCAGCAAAAATGGCCGGTCAGCACAATAAAGTGCCGGTCGGCACAATAAATTGCCGGCCGGATAAATAGATTGCCGATAGGTGCTGCCAAGGTCAAAAAATGGCCGGTGGGTGTCCAAACTGAAGTCCCGAAAGTTAGCTTTCTAATGGCGCAAACCTTGCATTAAAATTCCTTCTGTGCAAAAAGTTATACCCTTTTTCGTGAAGCCGCGCAGATTCGATCCAACCGGGATGATGCCCGACTTCAACTGATCATATCTCCCCCACCCGGACTTGGCTCTAAGAGATTCTTGAGTGCAAAATGAAGCCCCGAAAGTAAGCTTTCCAACGGTGGTGGCCTCATAGCTAAAATCCAAGTATGCAGATTAATAAGCCCGATTCAGCGAGGACTGCTCGACTCCCTTCTACCCGGATTCATGCCCGTCTTCTCCTCCAACTTGGTTTCTTCTCTCTTCCCCTCCTTTCTTCAACTTCGAACCCCTAAGCAAGGTGTTTTGAAAGGTTTTTCAAAGATTTCATCTCTCTTTCATTCATTTCCACTTTGTCCTTACTCGGTTTATCGAAAAGCGCATTTTTTGACAAAATGCGAGCCTCGGAACAACGCAGAAACTTTATTTCAAAAATGTTTTGAAAGAGAGAGTTTTAACGTCTAAAAACCGTTCAAAATAGCTTTGGTCCAAAATGGGGTATGAAGTTGGGATTTGACCCTCTCATTGCCGAAGAAATTGAACCTTTTCCCTGTACATCTTTCATCACCAAGTAAACCATCAGTAACGCTCAAGTCTTATGGGCTGTCAAAAATGGGGTGTCTACAATTAGTTCTAAAATAAAATTGCATGTGCTGCTTAAAATGTATTTTGTACCTCTAGGCTCAATAAAATTGTGACAGAATCTTATGGGAGAGAAACTGTATAAAATTTTTGAGTGGCTTCAACATTAGAATATTTTTCTTCATCTATTAGATATATTATACTTTTTTGTCATGTCAGACACGTGAATCACAACGCGGCATAGAACGCGTTACCACTTTGACCCGAGTAAATCGACACTCGGGGCCCACCTAAAAAATAGACCGAACTTAGGAAAAAATTCTAATTTTATCCAGAATTTTATAACCATTTCCAACACTTTCTTCATCTATTAGATATATTATACTTTTTTGTCATGTCAGAGATGCCAGAAGCATAGGGTGATCTAATAATTTATGTGAAAGGACACAATACAAAAATATACATCTGTTGGTGATCAACATGAAAGTAGAGAGAGACTGGGCCCTTTCCTCTCAATGTTGAAAATATAGAGAGAGAACCTTGGTCTCCAACAAGGATTTGAGCTCTCTGGTATGACAAAGTAGAAAAAGGTTATGCTGTGTAGTTTGTGCATTATAACATGTATTTATAGCAAGGAAGTCCTTTTCTTGTGATCAAGCCTCATTGTGAAATGTTTATTCCAGGATCCACAAGTTGTAACTGGCTCTCATGATGCAACGATAAAGTTCTGGGATCTTAGATTTGGTAATCAATATTTTGGTTTTTATTTTTTGTGCTTTTGTTTGTGTTTCTTTCCTCCTTTTAGTTTCTAATGATAGCAATTGATTTTTGTTTGGCAGGCAAAAAATGACAACCCTTACACACCATAAGAAATCTGTGCGAGCATTGGCTTTACATCCCAAAGAGTATGTATCTGTAAATATAATTTGTTCCTTTGCAAGTTGAGTGTTGATGCAATTGAATCAACCCATGATAATGCACTCGCAAGAAGATATTTGGGTTGTGTTAGTTTGGTTGTTTTTATTTATTTATTTATTTGTTGGGCTTTTTTTTTTTTTTTTTTTTTTTTGGATGGTTTAGAACTTTTTGGATGGTTTTGAAGTTGAGGACAATTTTTTATATTTGGAAATATAGTTTTTGGATGACTTGTAATGTATAGACAATTTTTAGATGTTCGAAAATTATACTAGTTTTTTTTATGTTTGAAATAATATTTTGGTGGTTGATTGATACTTATATATATGTGTGTGTGAAACTTGTTTGTAATATTTTTTTTAGATTGTACAGAACAGGTGAAATAGAACATGTGGAATTAAAAAAAAAAATACTAAATATATTCTACGACGGGCAGAATAGGCCATTGTGTTAAATATTTAATGACTATCAATGAGTGTCGTGATTTGTCTCTTGAATTAATGGCGTGCAAAAATAGTCATAGAAAAATTAAACATATGAGATGCGTTGTTAAAAGTTTTAACAACATGTTATGGCATGCCGTTGAAAGTGAATGATTTTCCATGACTGGTCATAATATGATGTTACCTTGTCCGTTGTAAAATTATATTCACGGCATGCATTTGGCACCGTAAAAATCCTTTTTGGTTGTAGTGTTTTTTGTTTGGATACTTAACCTATGTGGGAAAAGGATAAAAAAAATCTATACAGGTCAGATAATGTATTTAAGTGGGCTCCGGTTAAACTCCATTTGACCAAATTTTCAATGATCTTGAGAGATAATGCGATATGAAAATTACAAGCCGATTGCACTTATCCTCCAAGGGGGCTAGTTGCATTTACACCCTACTGCTAGTGAATAGCAATTTGCCTTTCATCTACTAACCTGCACATTTTGACCCACTTAAAAGAACAAACAAGTAGAGCCCCCTTTCTAGAGGAGTAATTGGTTTTTTTGAGGTCATCAATATGTGCATACGGGCTCATAAATACAGGGGTAAACTAATAATTACTAATAGTTGAGGGAGTTTTGGTGTAATTAACCATACACAAATTTCAAACTACTATAATACTCAACATACAAACCACACAAATTTATTATTTTTTTGTACATTACTTATACATAAAAAGAGATCAAACAACTAGTTTGGCTGAGCATGCTAGTTATATTTTGGGTTATCTTGCACAAGAAGGGAGGTTTTGCATGTCGTTGTCTCAAACATGACATTTTATTCAAGGTTTTGTTCCAAACCTTAATACACTACATAGTACAAATACCAATATTTTGTTTTTCTTAATTTATTTTTAAGACTACTAGTGATTACCATCAAGCAGTGTCATCTTCCCCATTTTCAATCTTCATTTGCTCTAAGAATAACTTTCCTTTGAGCTTGCGTGAGAGAATTTTTTGGTAGTACTTTTCTGTACTAATCCTTTTGAATAATGGAGAGTTTTGTGGGTTTAGAAGGCTAGCTGCAGGTCCGATCTCAGCTTCAAGCCTAGGGTGAAAAAACATTGCAATGGACATTCTCTCTTTTACTGAATTCACCGTTGCTCTGTGCTCAATGCTATTGTAGAGACCATTACTCAATATCTGCAAATTGATACCATAAATCTCAATAAAATATCACTTTGTGCCACTTGGCAAAACCTAGAATTTTACTAGACCATAGCCTGAGGAAATCCATGAAAAAAGTTTAAAAATTAATTTCATACATTGCTCACTTAACTGTTATATTTTTCTTACATTGATAGGAGCCATCCAATATTTTTGTACAGTACTTAAAGTTATACTATTTTTCATGTATTGCCCTCGGATTTGGGTCAGATAAAATGTCATATACCATCTAGTGGTGTCCAAGTGGCTTTTATTCATTTATTTATTTTATTTATCAAATTTTGAACAGTTTGTTGGACCAATTAAGAAAACTTATCAGGATTTGACTATTTTAATAAAATAAACACTGCATATTTTATTTTGTCATTTTAATTCCTAGTTTTTTTATTTATTTTTAATTTAAACCATCAACCTATTTCCGTTGAGTAAATATTTTAGTTATTAAACTCAATGAAAAATTATATTTTAGACATTTTATATATACTTACATTAAATTTAATAACTAAAATACTATTTCTTCCGTCCATTTTACTCAATGAAAATGCTTAGATATGGTTTTAGATTGAAAACAAATTAAAATTTTAGGGTTTAAATTAACAAAATTTAAAACTCGTAATTTGTTTTGTTACAAAAGTCAAACATTAGCGTTTTTTTTTTTAATTTTCCAAAAATAAAGTTTTAAGTACCAAATTAAAGTGATATTTGATAAAAATAAAATTTGAAATTTGAATACTAAATACTTAATATTTGAAGTTGAATGCTTGTTTTGATAAAAATATGAGTATTGAACTATAAAAAAATTATTTGATTTTGAAATATAAAATTTATTATTTTAAAATTTTATCTTTCAATTTTTATATATTGTGGTGGCGAGGTGTTGGTGGTGGAGGAGGAGGAGAAGGAGGAGAAGAAAGTGGCAATGTCCACAACAATGGTGGTTAAGGTGCTGATGTCAATGATAGTGGAAATGGAGATGGATGCAGAGGTAAAAGTAGAGGCAGAGCCAGAGGCAAAGGGATAGTAGTTGTTATGATAGTGGGAGGTGTAATGGAGCCTACAAGTGTAAAATATGGGCAGGTATGGCCAGATCAAAATGGGTTATGTATTTAAAGTAACATAATCCAAACTAGCCCATTTAATGAATGGGTTTAAACGGATCGGGTTGAATTGGATATAGATTGGATAAATAAACCCAATCAATTCATTTACTTCATCTATTTTTTTTCTCTATTTTTTTAAAAATTATTTTTATTATTTTAAGATATAAATTTTATTTTTTATATATTTTTAAAAATATTATTATTTATATATTATTTTTTAAAATTTTTAGTTTTTTTTATTTCATGTTCTTTTTTAATTTTTTTTTTTTTAATGATGATGATAGTTGTGGCAAAGAGGAGGTGGCAGTGAAGTAGTGGTGGTGGTGGAATGGCAATAGTAGAGGAGAAGGTTGTGTTGGTGGTCTGTCAAAGGTAGGACTACACAAATGAGCTGAGTCGAGCCGAACTTTGCTAAGCTCAAGCTCGGCTCGATAATTTTTTTTAATATTATTTATATTATTTAATATATTATTTAAATTATTTAATATATAAATAACATATTTATTATACAATTTAAATAATGATAAACGAGCTGAGCTTATGCGAGATCGAGCTCGGCTCGTTTACTAAATGAACCGAGCCGAGCCGAGCCCTTATCGAGCCTAGCCGAATCGAGCCGGGCTTGTTCATGAGCAGTTCGGTTCATTTGCAGCCCTAGTCAGAGGCAATGGCGGTGGAGTGGTGCCAGTGGTGGTGGTAGAATGGCATTAGTTGTGGTAGTGGATGAGTAACGGTGGCAGTTTGGTGGTATGTTTGCGAGGATGGTGGCGGCGGCGAAGTCTTGGTGGTTGAGAAGGTAGTAGTGGTGATGGAAGTGGTAGCTAGTGGTAGAGTGGCAGTAGTGGTAGTGGAGTGGTGGTAGTGGTGGAGGAGTGACGATGGTAGAGATAGTGGTAAAGGGGGGTTGGAGGTAGAAGCGGTGTCCATTTGCAGCTTAAATGGATACCTATGTCTAACCCATATAAATCCAATTTGAATTGGTTGACAATGAACAACCCATTTAAGCTCATTTATTGATTTGGACGGGTTCATATCGGTTTTAAATGTGTATAATTGGATGGGTTCATGAGTTTATGTTGGGTTTGCCACCTCTAAGTGCAGCTAGACAAGTAGTGATGGTCACTATCGCAACAACAACTATAGTGGTGGAGGTGGCAAGTTCTGATAGAAATAATGGAGAGGTGGTGATAGCGAGGGTGTGGTGGTAGTAGAGAAATAATGGTAGTGACTGTGGTGACGATGGCAATGTTGACGAAGTTAGTAGTGGTAGTAGCAGAGGTAGTGGCGGTGGCAATAATTGTGGTGGTGGTGTGATAGTAGTGTTGACGATAGTGGTTGCACGATGGGAGTATATTAGTGGTGGTTATGGCAGCAACAACAATGAGAATTTCTAATAGTGAATTAACTTATGTACCAGCACTTACAAACTTAGTTAGAATCATATTATTTAAAAATTTTAATTTTAAACTGTATTTTAAAAAATATTTAAATTTTTAAGTGATATGAATTGTGGTTATTAATTTTCACTAATTTAGAATTCTTTGAATATCTACTATTTCTTAAACATCCTTACATATTAATTTGTAAAAATAAGATTAGTACTATACATCTTATCTGAACATGTTGACACCTAATTACGTTGATGCAACTTTCTTCTTTAATTCAAAACAAAATGGCAATTATTGTGGTATTAGGGTTATGTAAATGAAATTGTTGAGAATAAAATATAAATAATAAAATTGCTTATCTCTCTTTTAGATGAGTTAGTAGTCAATAGTTCAAAATGATATCAGATCAACAAAACCAAATTACAAAAGAAAAAAAAAATAAAAATAAAAATCGAAAATAGGTAAATGATATATATATGCACTTGTTTGGTACCTACCATGTTTGAAACACACATTCGAAAAATGCTTGGTAGCTCAAATTTGTGTGGTTTGAATGACTCGAATGTATCAAAATAATGTAATTTTACCCCCAAAACGATATCGTTTTGACACATTCGAGTCATATAAATTCGGGCTATCAAACATTACTGCACACCTTCAACCTAAAAAAACAAAGAGGCTTGACAATGATTGGTAGGGTTTAAAAAATTTAACCGGATCAGAACAAGTAATTTGGAAGAAATATTTAATTTTGAAGAGAGAGTATGGAAAACAAACCTCTAGAATGTCTCCTGCATTAACAACAAAGGCATCTGGGAGGAAACTAACAGGAATCCAAATCCCATCTTTCTTAATTTGGAGGCCCTCAACTCCATTGACTTGTAGAAGGATGGTGATGCCGTCAGCATCAGAGTGAGGCCTCAGGCCCATCACCATCTCTGGTTGG